GTTCTGAAGTAAATTGATTTTAAAAACTCTATATTTATTTTTTTTAAAAGCCACTTCTCTATCTATCTATCGTACCATTTAGTCTAAACACTTCTGCACATTCTAAACTGAGTCCAAAACGTCATTTTCTCCTTTGTCCCCCTCTTCCCGCTGAACCTTTATTTGGCACGTTTTGAGAAAATAAAATCTTTATTTCCGTCACTGTCTCACCTCAACATGGATGCGAAATCCCCCGTCAATATTTATGACCCTGTAACAAGCTAAAGATGGATGAGTGCACGCTGTGTAAGCACACATGTTCCGAATGCCGGATGAAAAGAAAAAGAAAACCGTCAAGTTAGAATGTTGTCCTGTCTTTGCTATCAAATCAGATTTTATAAACTTTTTACCACGTTGTGAGTTGATATTCTCGATCCGAGATTATTAGAAGTAAAAGTGAGCCTTCGTGCATTAATCAGCCATGCGACCTACTGTACATGAATACATTTTATAATAACTCAAGTATGTGTCGAACTAATACAGACGTGTGGTGTAAATGTGTGAGTAAAATCCGTCTTACCACCAGAACGTTCCAGTAATGGCTCGGTGTCTGTGTCGTCCTCCAGTGACGATTCTAACAAGGAACAAAGAAAGTTGGTGCACAGACAGTATACTTATATGTTCGTGCACATCCGCGGGAAACTTAAAATAAAAGGTCGGTCTTTCCCGCGCACACCTGTGCGCGCGCCCGTGTGCGAGGGAGATGCTCCGCTCTTATCCTCAGGCGGAAGTGAAACCCTAAATTCCTGTTTCATTTTCCCTACCAAAATATCCTCTCTTTTTTCTTTTCAATTTTTTTGGAATGCTTTAAAAAACAACTTTTGTCTTGTTTTATTCATCATTTTGTCTCATTTATTTACGCTCGTTTGTTTATATTTTATTTTTTTATTAGACTTGATGATTAACTAATGCAAATATCTGTGTATGGAAACGTAAGTATGGAAATGTTTCCTTTTACTTTTGTAAAAGTAAACACGTGACACGTGTTTGAATTGTGTATTGTTGTACAAGAAAACCTTTTCAAAAACAGTAATGAACCAATGTTGCTACCAAAATAAAAACATATATATTATGTAGCATCCATCAAGCAAATCAATGATTCCGTTTAACACTGGATGTTATACAGATCACTACTTTGCAAACGTGAACTTTCCATCCTTTCTTGCTGCATAAAGATGATCCTCGTTTAATTGAATGTTTTTTTAACCGTAATAGTACTTTATGCGTGGCACAAATTCTGACGACTTTGCACCAATGATAGACACGATTACTTTATCGTTCGGCTGCAGATTAAAGCCTATCTTATCAGGTAATTTATACAGTACACGCTCGTCAAACGGTGGTTTATCTGTGTCTGATTTCATGACTCGTGTTGTAATGACTGATACGGCGGGCTTTAACCCCGGTCACTTAAGATTCAAGGGTTATGTGGAGGTGAACTTACACTGACGGATTACACCATGCACTACCACTCTGTTGGGTTTGCTTCTTTCTCTGTAAATGGTGGTCCTAAAAATCACTGAGTTGCCAAGGACATGTGTGTCTTCCTTGTTTCTGTGCACTATATATGTGACCCTAAGATGAACTGGAACTGATTAACCGTGTGTTCACATATATTTGTATTTTATCTTTTCCCTGATCTTATTTATTTACAGTTTTCCTGTGTTGTTGAGATTATTTTATTTTTGTAGCAAACTGGTCAGAACATGTGAATGTTACGCCTCTTAGCTAATACAGCCCACAGCATCGACTAGTGGAACATTTTCTACAATAGAATTAGCCCATTTACATCTATATTAATGTTTGGTGTCTATTTCTACACACATGAGTTATTACAGACTTAAATAATCCCAGCATTTGTGTCTAAAAATGATAGTGGCCTGTAGCATTATCCCTTTTTTAAATGTATATACTGTGCAGTAGTGTGCTGTGTCACAATGAAATGTAATTCATTTCACTTTTTTTACATTGCTGTTTTTTTCTTAAGCAAGAACTACTTTAAATAAAAACGTTAAAACATACACATTCAACAATTTCTAGACATACTTAAATTTTGTTTTATTATTTAAATCGCATTCTTTTTTTCAATTTAACTCCAGATTTTTTCAGTGTTGACACATTATTAGTTATAGGAACAGAAACCAGAACTCACAAAATCACAAAAATAAAAAGAGAAATTGAACACCTGCTAAAGTACCCAGGACTACTACGGGCAAGCTTTACCTTTTTGGGACGTAGAAGTAAAACTGAACAACGGAGTAGTAAATACCCAGTTTTATAATTTGATAATTTCATTCAGAACCATCTTAAATAATATGTGAATTTCCGGCATGTTCTTTAGTTTAATAGGAGATTAAACAGACATGGATGTTCTCATGCATGTATCCCAAAAGATAGTGCTGCACTGGATTTTGTTCCATTTTCCTAGTCTCATTTTAAACAAGAACATGTAAAACAGTGAGAAAGAAGCCATGTGATTTAAGGCTGTAATCTGTCGGTTCTAGAATTGTTAGTGTTTTCACTGCTTTTATGGTGTTTTTATCTGCTGTGACTGAAGTCGCACACTTGACATACGTGTGTCAAAGAGTAACGCCAGTAAATCGTTTGTGTAATACTGTAAACATGGCAAATCCTTCAGCTGTGGAGGTGAGCAGTGGCCGCTTGGGGCAAATTATACAACTTTCCGTTCCGTTGGTGTACAAAAAAAATATACAACTTTCCGTTCCGTTGGTGTACTGTGGTATCGATATAATTGTTCATTTGTGTTGATTTGATTTATCTTTTAGTTTGGAGGATGTGTCAACATCAGTTGAATCAATAAAAAACTGGTGTGAACCCTATCAGATGTTTGCCGTATTTTCAGTTTTCGAGCCTTTCTGACTCACATCACACCAAGAACCTGACTGAGTAAGAATATCAGCAGACTAATATGCAGATGTTTTGCTCTTTCATGTTTCAGCAGCTCACAGTCATGATAACATTGCGTTGATCAGAGTGCTGACTGTTTTGAAGGTCATTCACAGAGTTTTATTTGGGTTTAAATGATTATTTTGAACTATCCGTGTTGGAAATTCCGATTATCAGGTCCTAGTTGTGGCTACTTGAAGTGAAAGTTCCCTTTCAAGGCTAAGAGAGATGTTTTTGAATTATTTTGCCTTGAGTGCTTCTCACCAGAGACAGCGGGTGTGTCTGAACCAGAGCACGAAGGAAAGCGTAGCTGGGTTTTCCCCCCCGATTTTATGCTTTATTTCTTTGCTGCATTTTCATGATTTTAGTAAATAAAGTTCACCTAAAGATGGATGAGTGTCGTTTAATGGTGTTTTCCATTATTTTTAGTGTAACACTGGGAAATTGTGAGTGTCGTTTAATGGTGTTGATGGTGGTGATTATTTTTAGTGTAACACTGGGAAATTCTCCTATGAGCTAACTCTTTAAATGTGAACCAAGGAAGGTTTATGCATAAAGGCACACTATGTAGTACTTGAAAGCATAACAGAACAGATCACAAAACAAAACATTGGAATGAAACTGATTTGAACAGAACAGAACAAAAAAATAAATAAAAACAAAACGGTATCCTAAATGTACCACCAACTCAGCCAGCTGCAGGTAAAAGACTGGCTATTGTCATTTTTCATTTTCCTCTCGTACAGGTTCTATAAAGAGGCCCCTACATTTTAGGAACATTATGTTCTAAGGTCTGTTTGAGAACAGGCCGCTGAGGGGCGCTGTTGCCGCCGGCGTGGTTATCTTTGCTGCGTACTTCAGGCTGGACCCGTGTGTCCAAAGACAAGTGCCGGTAAGTCTATTTTATTAATATGAGCGACTGTCACTACAGCTGTGCTGACGGGGTCGATACCTCCGCTCAATCACGTTGTGAGTGAAAATGCGTTTAAGAAGGGAATCTTTAATGTCGTTGACATACTGGTCGTGTATACAGAGACACGACTGCGTAGCACCATGGGCAAAAGGCCTTTCTAATGCGTTACTATGGTTACTTTTATCTGCATTTCTGCACATCTGCATTTTTATTGGATATCAGTGCTTCGCCGTGCACCGCTGTGGTGTTGCCTTTTTAAAGTCATTTTATAATTTATCAGTGAAGAAAAATGTTGGAAGCGAACATGTGTTATGTAACACATTCATTATTGACACAGTGTGCCTCACTGACACACACTATTTTTAAGGACTTTTAAATGGACAAATAATTCCTTGCAACTTGATTCTAATTTCAACCAATGTTAATAATTTCCTTACCATGATCTTAATCCCAAGCAAAAGTTTTTACCTTTAAAATTATGTCTTATTTTTGCCTCCTTCAAGACAGATGAACCACTCAGTTCAGTTTATTTGAGTCAAAATAATAATCAAATAAACTCAATATTACATTGAGTTTATATCAACAATTACAAATTAGGGAAGAGTTATATTTGCAGATATTCTCAGTCATCCAGGTCATTATTATAATCTCAAGAGCAATTTTAATGTAGGCAACTGGACACAACTCAAGTAAGTTGAAAACTTCAACTTACAACTAACCTTTAAATGGTTTTTGCACAGTTGTTCAAATAATAAAATAAAACACTTCTGTTCTTCATGTTGTGCTCAGTTATGTTATGGCCCATAACTCATCATATGTCATCACATCACCAGACACCTGCCCTCAGTTTTACCCATATTTCACATTATGTTGAACATTGTTCAGTGGCGCTGGTGGAGATAACAGGGTAAACACTGATAAAGATGTGGGGTTAAAAAGAGGGCACCGTACTTCAAGATGTTCATGATGTCTTTATAGCTCTGTGACTGCGGCCTGAGACGAGCCCGCTGTTCTGTTGGTAGAATTAAGGGGGCCGACAATGGCACAAGACCTAATTATGTGGAAACATTTATGTTTATTAAAAACAAGTGGGATATTTAAAAAGAACGCGTCAAAAATGTTATTGCACGTTAATATGTGTCACGTGTGAATATAGTGTCATTTACTCTGACAGATTCAAATCTTACTATAAATAGACGGTGTTATAAGAGAACTTCCAGCAGCTCGGCCTGGTCTCTAATGCTGTGAATACACAAGTGGAGCCAATAATTGTGACAAATAAATAAATAAATCAATCAAAGTTAGAAGCGTGTGAGGTGAATAATGAATCGAGTGGTTATCTTTGAAATAATTGCCCCTTGAATAATCTTGAGATGACAAAGCGCTTCTTTTTGAAGACTTACATAACTGTGACATCACTGTCTTCTTGCTCAATTATCTGACAGTTTTCAGGGGGTGTGGTATCTGAGAAGAGAATATATAAGCCTCAAGTCTCAAAGCTGAAGACTCCAGCAACAGCAGCAGCAGCAACAGCAACAGTAGCAACAGCAACAGTAGCAGCAGCCGTTTTGGACAACACTGCATCCACAGGAGCTAAAGCTACAGCTGCAGTCATGCCCTCCTACCAAGTTCAAAACAAAAAAGACAGAGGTAATTTGCTGCTTCTGCTAAATTATAAACGGTTCAACTTAACTACACAACTTAACTTTAAACAAAGCATCATTTATATTTAACTTGTACGTCATTGTTTCTGCAGCACAGGAAAAATCCAAGTCGTTGCAGAAACTAATCCACTATACAGATGTGCACGGTCTGCCATGCATTGAGAAGATCGTGACCTCAGTGGAGGACGTCCCTGAGTCCATCAACACCGACATCACTGGCACGATTCCAGAGTGGATCGATGGAAACCTTCTGAGGAATGGACCTGGAAAGTTTGAAATTGGAAATCAGAAGTGAGTTTATCCAATCAACATCAACATATTTGATCACTTTTTGTTTTGGTAAATTGTGGTTTATATGTTTGGGCCTAATCACAAAGCTGTCTTTGTGTCCCCCCTCTCCCCCAATCAGGTTTAACCACTGGTTCGATGGCATGGCTCTCCTGCACCAGTTTAAAATATCTAAGGGTCAGGTGACCTATAAAAGCCGTTTCTTGTCCAGCGACAGCTACCAGACCAACAAAGAGTGTAACCGCATCGCAGTGTCTGAGTTTGGCACACTAACCATGCCTGACCCCTGTAAAAACTTCTTCCAGAGATTCATCTCCAGGTTCGAAATGCCAAGTGAGTTTTCCTGAAGTTGTGTGATCAAACTTCCATCTACAGTTTGTAAGTACGCAGAGGAAGGTTATTGATTATCAACCTCACTCTTCTTCTCGTAGAGGCCACAGATAACGCCAATGTGAGCGTTGTGACCTACAAAGGGGATTATTACGTCAGCACCGAAACCAACATCATGCACAGGGTGGATCCTGAGACCCTGGAGACCACTGCGAAGGTAAGATAACGTCAGAGGTTTTTGAATAATAATACTCGCTTTTTAATCAGAACAACAACAACAACGCTGGTTTGATTTACCATTAGAAAATCATAGGCTGATTAAACACTGAAATGATTCATGATGATTCATTTATTTCTCCAGATACAAGTATTTACAACTGTACTTCCCAATGCTCAGTAATGTCACCTATACTTCTTCAGTCTTGGTTTTCTTTTTTCTTTATTCATCCATTCACTAGAAACACTAAACACTAAATAGTGAACTTGTATTGACCTCGTACAGAAGAACAACAACAGAGACAGAGGGTTGAGTTGTATAGACTTGTTTGTGGACATATTTTAAGAGTCAGTGACAATGTTTGGAATTTGTTGAATCAGCTCTTACTTTCACAACTCACTGGTCAGAAAACTAGTCTTGTAAACAATGACTTTTGAGTTTACATTTTTCTGAGGCGTAGTCAAACTTTATTACTTGTCTTAAAGCTAACTGTATAAAACTAAGATAAAAAAAAACTCAGGTGCAACGTTTGTATCTGTGTTTCTCAGGTGAACTGGACCAAATTCATTGCTGTGAACGGCGCCACTGCACATCCTCAAACAGACCCTGATGGAACCACCTACAACATGGGGAATTCCTACACCCTTAAAGGTAATATGACACTGACCTGCTCACACTGCTGGTGACAACTGAGCAGCTTCAAACACCTTATGCCTAAAAATATCTTTTTGACATTTCTGCAATGCCAGGATCACACTACAACATCATCGTGGTGCCTCCAAACAAAACCAGCGATGAAGATGAGACACTGGAGGGAGCCAAAGTGCTGTGCTCCATTCCGGCAGTAGACAAGCGCAAACCGTCCTACTACCACAGCTTTGGTGAGTCAGAGGTTTTAGGGTTTTGTGCTTTTATACAAAGACAGACCAAAACACACCATGTTTCCTTACAACACTATTATTGTACGTGACTAGGCCAAATTATATTAATGTACAAAAAGAAATTTATTGAAAGAAATAAAGTGTATCCAGCTGAAAGACTACATTTACCTACTGCAGCACCATAATAGTTATGGTTTTTTAAAATGACAGATTTAATAACACAGATAAGAGTTTAATTCTGAGCTGCTTTGTGAAACAAACAAAAAATCAGTGACATGTTAATAACATTTGTATTGTGTATTCTTACCATTCATTAAAAAACATTTAGTCCGATTCATCTCATCAAATTATTGAACACAACTGACACGTTCATTTTAACAGCCCTAATATTTTCACTCTGATTCTAGCCATGTCTGAGAACTACGTGGTGTTCATCGAGCAGCCCATCAAGATGGACCTGTTGAAGATAGTGACGGGGAAACTGAGAGGAAAAAGTATCAGTGAATGCTGTTACTGGGATCCAACTCTTAACACCATCTTCCACCTAATTCACAAGAAGACAGGGGAGGTGAGGTTCTTACCCTGGCTCTGGAGTTCTCTAAGAATGGAGCCGTCTCTGAACTCTGCCCGTCTGCATTTCAGGTCAGCTCTGTCAAGTATGTGGCCCAGGCTTTTTCAACCTTCCACCAGATCAATGCGTTCGAGGAGGACGGCTTCTTGATCGTAGACCTGTGTGCCTCAGATGATGGACAGGCGATCAATAACTACAACATCCAGAACCTGCGCAAGTCTGGAGAAGCTCTTGATGAGGTCAGCAGTTCAATTCCGGCTTGACTTTCTTGCCTTTATATTTTTGTTTCTTTAAAGTACGGCTACTAAATACAGTTTGCCTTCGTTGATTTTTTTGCTGAGTTGCCTTGCTGAAAAGACTCACGTTGTCATCACCAGGTGTACAACACTTTATGCAGAGTATTCCCACAGCGATTCGTGCTGCCACTTAAGGTGGACGATGACACACCCTATCAGGAAAACCTCAACAAAAGGCCCGACAGCACGGCCACTTGCACAAGAACTGAGAAGAACAAGGTAGAACCTGAGACTTCAAATGATGTGTAGTAAAACTAAAATAGTACATGGGACCTCACACAGCACAGGAGAACGCGGACAGGACTGTTATTGTCGTTTAACAACAACAGATCACACGGACAAGATTTGTAGTTACTTTGTAGTAGAGGTTTATGGCCTAATTATCTTAGCCTAAAATGATCTTTTTCAGGTTTATCCACGTTGTTTTTGGTATAGTTACTTCTTACAGTTGACTATGAAATGTGATTTAACAGCAGTCTTGGCTAATCTATTGTGTTTCTGTTCTGTTCTTTTTCTTTTTATACCAGTAAATTGGAGGGCTGCAAATAGCTTTTATTTTTTAAAACTCACACACTCACATGTTGGGGTTAAGTTTCTAGGTTTACAGAAATGTGACTGTTGTTTGATCTGCACTCACATGTTGGGGTTTAGTTTCTAGGTTTACAGAAATGTGACTGCCTGAGGCTGCACAATTCTTATCTTTATGATATCAGTGTCTGTTTGCTATCCGGGGTACACTCTGTGCCAACTTTGTCTTACTTTACAGGTGCCATAAACAGATATAGAGTACAACAGAAATATGTACCTTTTTTAAAAAACAAAACAATATATATATATATATAAAGATGTCAGCAAAGATTCCCACTGTGACAAAAATAAGAACCTGTAGCACTGCAGAACTAAGATGGTTTCTAAAGTTTCACATCTAACACTGTTTTGTTTTTTGTTTTGTGCAGGTGTTCGTTACCCATGAGGACCTGCACGGGGACGATCTTCAGCAGTACGGTGGTCTAGAGTTTCCTCAGATCAACTATGGCAAGTACAACACCCGGCCTTACCGCTACTTCTATGGCTGTGGCTTCAGACACCTGGTGGGAGACACGTTAATCAAGATGGACCTTCAAGGAAAACACATGAAGGTGAGTCTGACTCACATCTAAGTTTGATTTCCAGGTTCCTTTGTTTTCATGTGCAGTTACTAACACAACATACAGCTACATAGTCATAATCCCACTACAAAACTACATAGACTTACGTTCTTCTCTGTTGGAGAATTGTGTCTGAGAATGTGTGTCTGTCTTGACCATGTTGCACATTTATCATCATAAACCTAATTAACAAAGGTAACTAATGATAACTGAAAATGAATTTCTTGATTTCTTCATAGGTTTGGGAGGAATCTGGTCTGTATCCTTCTGAACCAATCTTTGTCCCCTCCCCTGAGGCCACAGAGGAGGACGATGGTGTCATTTTGTCTGTCGTCATCACTCCCAACAAGGTTAGTCAAGATGAGTCTTTAATAGGTCTACACAATTACAGATAATTAGTTTTCATACCAGCCATCATATGTAGGGATGGAAGTAATATTTGGTGAAATTTTTATGCAAAACAAATCTGGTCTCTGCTCAATAATCAACTGCTTTGCGTTTTATCTTTCAAGGACAAGAGCACGTTCCTCCTGGTACTGGATGCAAAGACATTTGAGGAACTGGGTCGTGCTTCGGTGCCTGTCAACATCCCCTACGGTTTCCATGGCACATTTAGTGCCGCATCATAGAAATGTGATGAGGGAGCTGACAACATAACTAACATAATGTAAATAATGACTTTTTAAACTGTTGCTCTTTTCTGCTGCTTCTTTTTGTATATGTAAATGTATTGCCTTATACACCTATAATATAAATGCAAAGTTTGCTTGAACTATAAAAAAAATGTAGCCATTAAATGGAGCGGGACACATTTGAGTTCTGTAATGTAAAATGTGAAAAAAAAAATAAACACACATAATAACACTTCTTTGTGTATTTCAGAATTTTATATATATTTCGTTATGTACCGTTGCTTGCTCGGGTTACGTATAGTAAGCTCAGACAGAGACAATGGGTCTGTAGCTCAACTGAAGTTTGTCCAAGCGGAGTTGCCGTACGTACCTGTCCAAGACCGCAGCTCATTCGTTCGTGCTCAAACAGCCATTGTGGGCCACACACACAGTACAGGCAACGCAGATTAGCCAGTGTGAAGTTGTACAGTACAGTAGGTGTTTTCATTGTTTATTCATTTACTATGTTTAATTTTACACTGGCAACACATATAAATGCTAATTTTATAGTAGTCATGGCCATTGTGGGCCACACACATAGTACAGGCAACGCAGATTGGCCAGTGTGACGTTGTACAGTACAGTAGGTGTTCTCATTGTTTATTCATTTACTATGTTTAATTTTACATTGGCAACACATATAAATGCTAATTTTATAGTAGTCATGTAGCATTACATATGTTGAACACTGCTCACGTGCTTATCACCCGTCTGAATTTTCTTATTGTAGGCTAGTTAGACATTTACCTTTGCGTTAATTGATGCGTAATTTAAAAATCGACAAATGGTAAAGTGAGTTTATGCACATAAAAGATGTTCCTGTATATTAACAATAACCCAAAAGACTTTTGCCCCGACAGTTAGCATTGAATTGGCTGGGGAGAAGATCAACATTAACTGGTTTTCACCTATTGTAAACGTCCTGAAATGTCCAGATTAAACGATTATCTTATGGAGAATTAATTGAAAGATAATCCCCTTGCATAGTTATTAAGAACGGAATACACTTGGTGAAAAATCTAAGTACAAGTACAGAACTTAAGCACATTAGTATGGAAGAAACCATTCAATTACCATCGCGGACTCCCCCCTGTGGCAATTTTAAATTACTGCAATAATATGGCGGTTATTGCAATTTCAATCAAAATTAAATAAAGTTAAATAAAAAAATGAAAATTAAATTCAGATCCAATTCAAAATTATGGCATTACCAAATTAAACAGTAAGTCTCAACACAACCCATAAACAGTCGCGTGATGTAGGAGAACAGTATCTACAGTTTACATCAGTCTCTCTGTAGCTCTGTGTATACCTGGGCTGTACCACTACTCTTGCCCTTTCAGAGCGTCTGTCCCCTTCCCCCTTTCACATAATAGTATGGTCCAAGTTTGTCCTCGCATATGATTGGCTGTCAGCTGAGGATTGGGCTCTCGGCTTTGGGTTTTGGTATCAGATCGGACCGACAAGTTGTTGTTTTTTTCGATATCCGATCCTGAACTTTTGATCAATATCTGACCAATTCCATTAGGCCATCCCTAATTTAAAGTTTTGATTCCATTGTTTTGCGTCCAGTGTTATAAGTAGTAATCCCAACTACAGTAAATACTATAATACATGACTGTAATCATGCATGACAGTTCACACACACACAAGCCCACACATATAGTTTTATAACATAGAATAAATATCGACGAAATTATTCTTGACTGCAAAATAGATGGAGCATCAAAATGATAATCAAGATCAACCTCCGTTAAAAAGAAGAAGACGTCACTCTGCACCATCCACTATGCAGCATTTCAAAATGTTCGAGGTTGATGTTTCAGGTATGTTCACAACACATCTTTAATCTTCCTTTCTCTTATTACAGTGTTAAAATAAGACCCTTTGAAACGAGGCCCTCAGAAAACACAGGTACAGATGAACAGAGATCTTTACCATGTGATTTGTTTGGTCTGACAGATGCCAGAAAAGAGATCGTCCTGCTGCTGTCACAGCAGGCTGATTACTTAAGGTCAGTCACTGAACACTAACTGTAAAGAGAAGAAGAAGAGAAGAAGATAAACACTTTCTGGAGGCAGTTTTTTCCCTAAAACTCAGAGATTTTAATTTTTTTTTTTAATTTGGAGCAACATCTTACACCAGGTCAAAATCCGTGGGGGATCAGCTCGATTGAAACCTGTTACAGGGCTTTCCTAATTGTAACAGTTTGTTTCAAGAAATGATGTTTAAAAATTGTTCATTTCTGAGCTTTAAAAACTAAACTAAATAAATGGAAAAAGCATGCAGCTTTTTTATTAGACCACAGCAAAAATACTTAACTAAAACCCCTCGATAAAAAACCCCCAGATAATAAACAACAACAGACCTTTACCACTAGGTGCTGCAATATTTTAAATGGTGTATCATACTGTACAGCTGCTAAAGAACACTACAGTTATTTTTCTAAGGGTTTGGGGGACAACACTGTTGTGGATGTATTAACTGACTGTCCCTTATTATCATTTACAATGATCTTTTGCAGGAGCAGAGCTGCAGCCGACACTGCACAGATGAAGGACGCAGAAGAGCTTTTGTTTGAAGTCAAGAATCTGGAAATCACACTTAGAAATAAGAAGAAACATCTGTTGGCACAGCTGGATATCATTACTGCTAGACTTATGAATCATTTCTAATTCAACATGTGTGATTGCAGCTATTTATTCAGTTAGATTTGTTTAATTTTTTTGAGTAAACTGATAACAGCAGTCCTGTTCACAAACTTGCAGTTATTTAAAATTGTCACAAGGGGGAGTTTGGGAAAGTGTTTAACTCAGGGTTTTTGTTCATAGTTATGTGTTTACTTGCATCCTTCTACAATGCAAGAGATTCAAATGGGTTCAAATGGGTTTTAATGAATCCTTAAGTTTCTTGTGGAAACAAGACCTTCGTTCTTTTTTTCTTTTCTCTTAGGGAGGTCTCGCCACTGTGCTTCAATCCAAACGTCTTTCATTCTCCTTAAATCCTTTAGATTTGAAGTGCCTACTACACTCATACTTATTTGTTGTTCAGGTATTGTGGAGAGAGGAGTGTGCAGAACAAAGGAAAAATATAAAATCTGAGAAAATTAGAGAAATGAAACACTCGTTTACAGTTGTTTCTGTGTCTCAACTGATTAAAAGACGACAACCAGCAGCTACAGTGTGGGCAGACTTTATCACACAGCTGAAAGCCTGCAATCATTAAATATAAAAGTATTCGGGGATTTCTCAATTCCTCCTGCTGCTTCTCCTTCCCCTTTCTTCTTTTGGTGCATCTCCAGTGCACGCAGCATCTTATTGGTGAGCCTGACGATCATGTTCACCGACTGTGACTACAGAGGAACTAAAACAACAAAGACAGAGGCATTAGTAAACAAAGCTACAAAGTATTAGAAAGCCCACGTGAATTCTGGGAGATTAGTAAGTGGAGCAGTGATTCACAGACGATCGTTTGAGTTTAGTAGTTTGATGAGTGGCCAGTAATTCCCAGGTTTCTACAGTGGAACAGACCATGAATGCAACACTCTCCATAGTCTGTGAACATGCAATCCACAAACTTTTTTTTTTCTGTGTTAGCATTTGAATCAAACAATAATGTAAAATTTTCAATGAAAAATTGTTGTTTTACCCCAACATTACTTTGCCTCCAAACTCTGATCTGTTTATTTTGAGTGTGAATGTGAAACATTTAATTGTTTTATTTCCAATACTTTCATATATTTTGATTCGCATTTTGCAGTCACTTCCTTTTGATTAGTCACCAAAACATATGCCTGACACAGGTGTTTGTGAAAGTCTGGCCCAAAATGTAGCTCTTATTAAGTAGCCCTGCAATAAAGCAGGCAATTTCAGCAGGGATTTTGTTTTTAAGTCACAAGAGAAGACCAAAACTATAAGGATGTAGGTAAATGAAAGAAATGTGGAGGATATAAGCCATATAAGAAGGGGAGAGGATAACTACCCACTGCTTGGTGTGTTGGGTAAACACCAGTCAGTGCGTACTAACATTGTGAAGAAAACAAGGGTGTATCATGAGTATTGTCATATGACTCATAAGGGGAAATGATGTTAAAGGTCTTTAAACATAGAGTAACTGATGAAAAAAATATAGTATTGTAGTAATTTTTTCATGTATGAATTTCTGTGGTGCACTGTTCCATTCCTAATTATTTCAATGTACTAAAGAAATGTTTACGTTCTTTTTTCGTATCAAATCTGCATCATTTGTTTTTTACTCAAGTCTGAATTATTAGCTCACTGCGCCCTCTTGTGGCAGTACTAGGAACAGAATTTCCACCTGCTTGCAGTTTAAGGCAGCCGATGATTTGTTTAGGAATATATTACACCAAACATAACGTAACATGAGCGATGAAATTTAGTCTGCTGTTAGAGTCATAGCTTGGTGCTCGAAGTTAGTTTCACACAAACTACCCTGGTTTGTTTACTTTCTATGTCTCTGGTATCAGGAGGGCAGTTTGTACCATTATTATTCTTCTGGTTCCATCGATTCTTTTGAGAGTTCCTCTCTCGAATGAGGAAGAACTACCCCGTTTTAAGCCTTTGCATTTGACCAAATGCAGTTTAAATAAAATCACCAGTCCACCACTAGAGGAAGCCCAAGTAATGTCAATGGTACTCATACCTCAGTTTGAGAACCACCGCACTTGGATCGATAGGTTCTTTGAACATTAGAAATGTTATTCTCATCCCTGTGCTTTATTTATGTTTAATGTTTATATGATACAACAAACCGGGACCTGTGTTGTCGTGTTCTCTCAATATCAAACATAGGTCCAAAGACAGCACCTTCAACGTTTAATTATTTTTTAAAGTATATAGAATAAATTCGCTTTTCTATTTATCATTCGTGGATTTAGCACAATAGATAAGGCTTATATTAAAGTATAACCACAAGTAATGTTTTAATCGGAATCGTCTGAAGGACAGCGTCAGCGTAAATAATCTTCCTAGCCAATGCTATTGTTATTTATTTTTCACACACACTCATGTAAGATAAAGGTCGTATGCGATATAAAAAATGTATTTATTTATTTTCTACATCAGTTACCCCTGGTACGTATATGTTCAGAGAGCGAGTCAACGTTGGAAAAACAACAACACTTTGCATGCGGTGCGGTGTGAAGTTTCCTGATTTCCGACATTCCCATGGTCAGTGAACGCAGCATCGGGGACATCGCTGCCTGTAGAAGGAGCTCTTTCTGTCCCTTACCTAATTCTCAGCCAAACGTACACAAACATGGCGATATCACAGGCGGTCAGGATGCAGTCTTCTCTTCGGTGTGCGTTATATTTAGTCGTCCTCGCCTTTGGTGGAATAAATTCATCGACGCTTCGTTCACATTTGGAGCAGCGGTTCATGCCTCCTCAAAACAGGGGCTTTTTCACTATAGAAGCTGATGTGCTTTCTCCAGATGGAGGTGGAGGTGGCGCCGCAGCTCCAGCGCTGCCCCTGGCCGACCGTAGTACCCCTAAAGGCGGGTCGATCTCTGGTACCAACCCGCAGCATCGAAGCCGCCGGAGTAGCGGAGAATCGGCCATGCCAAGGGTGTACGGACAGGTAATGAAAGGCATCCCTGTGATAACTGTTCACCTCAGTCGGGGCGGTTTGCATCGCCTGAGGCTGGTGTTCTCCCCCGAGAATGACTTTGGAGAAAATGATGCATGCTTGTGCAGGGTTGTTTTTAAGTGCCATCATTATTGCACCTTGTTGTTGTTGTGTTTCACTGTTGTGTGGAGAGGAAAAAGTGGTCCATTGTGCCTCCGAGCAGCAAAGGCAGTAAAGAGAGGAGAACGCGTTTCACCTGGTGTCCTTAGTGGAGCCGAGAGACGTTACAGCTCAGCACACAGGCGTTTAAAATGAATGGTAACTCAAACAACAGGATCCCCTAACACTCAGGTTGAATTGGCTGGAGTTGAACAGCCTTTACATCACAGTAAGAATGAAAGCGCAGCTTCACGGAAACCGTATGTCGTTAAAAAAAACCCTTTTTTTAGGACACTGCGTTTGTTTTCATTCATTTTTGACAGCACCAGCTAAAACTTATCCTTCACCTCGACCACCACCCTGTTAAACCTCATGCTAACGTCTAACCCAACAACGATTTGAATCTTCACCTAAACTTTAACTAGTGTCAGTTAACTGGCAGAACCAGTTAACTGACACTAGTTAAATATCCTGTCCTTGTCCTGCCCTGGCTCCAATCCAGAAAGAGCCTGTGTTGATATAAGTGGTTTCAGTATGAAGTTGATGTTGTCAGTGAGGAAACAAGTGATGATTTTTTTTTTTACACCAAAAGTTAGTTTCAGTTGATCAAAAAGAGAGGAAGGAGATGCAAGAAGAACTGGTTCTGGCTGAGAGTGAATTTTTTTTTTCACCTGCTGTCTCCAGAGCATATGTTGAAATCAACCACACATTTCTACATACCTGTACATGTGACAAACTGTATACAATATCTTTAAGCAAAGGCATTGGTTCCCAAACTGAGGGGTGGGTCCCCTGGGGGCTGCGAAGCTATTGCCAGGAGGATAGCTGATCTGAAAATCAATTTTAAATTCAATTCTTTTATGTGCCACATGGGGGAGATTATTAACAGAGTGATGTTGCTAAATGTGTGTTTATGATGTAAACAGAAGAAGTGAGATGAATGTAAACACACACACACACACACAAAGGCTGGGAGCTAGAAGTTACTCACTGTCTCCATCTTTCACACCCAGTCATAAACACTGATAGGACTGGCAGGCAAATGGGACCTGTACAAAACGTAGTGCACGGATTGGCTAAATCAGAGGTGTCAACCGTAACCACTCCAAGTCTTAGTCGTGAGCTGAACAGGAGCAAGTGGAGCTGCTGCCGCTCCATTGACCTTAGAAGCTGACGTCCACCCATGTGAGCATTTGACCCTGCAGCTCACAGAGGTTGTAAACACAACCGCCTCAGATCCGGTTGGATCCTCCAGGTCTTAGTCGTGAGCTGAACAGGAGCAACGTTTCTAGAACAGTCTAGAACTGATGATGCTTTAACCAGATATAATGAGAATATTGAGTGCACCTTAGCTCTTTAGACAACCAGACACACGTGAAGCTCTGGTGGGCCGCATAAGATGACCTGATGGGCCAGATTGGGCTGTTGAGCCTTGAGTTTGACACATTTTGACAAATATTAGAGGATGTTGATAAATAAGTGGAAACAGTGAGAGTTCCTTTTACTTATGTTTTTTTTTGTTGTTCCTCTTGGTCATTGTTGATTCTTTTAACTGTCATTTTGTGTCAACATCAAGGCACTCTGATCAGACCATTTAACCACTGTCTGCTTTTCATGCACCAAATGATAAGTGGAATCTTTCGCTTTTTAATTTCAATTCATGCTTGTTTACTGGCCTCGCCTAGACAGGAGTGTTGTTATTGTTATTATAGGAATTAGAATTAAATTGCATTTCAGTGCTGCACTAACTGTACGTGGACCCACTAACAACACAGTCAACCAGTTTAACAACACAGTCAACCAGTTTAATCATTTTTGCAAGCTGCGATTCAGAATTACGCCATTGTTTTACAACATTTTCACTTGAAATCCAGATGTAATTCTGCCAGAATCACCGCAGTGTGTACGTAAGAGTAATGTTAGATGGTCGAAACCACATCAAAATATAACAGTTCTGAGAATTATAATTCTGTGGTTTAGAGGCATGAACTGAACAGGTTCCAAAAAAGACACTCACAGTGACAGAGAGACAGGAAGGAGAAGGTTTGTGGTCACATAATGAAGTAATGAAGTTTTCATGTTATTTGTTTACACTAGTCAACCTTTAAAAGACTCTTAACTCGAAGGTAAATGTCAGTCAGGTACTGCACACATGAGAAAACAGTTATACAGAAAAAACTAATGTTTACCTCATTAACTGTTAGCAGCAGCTGGGTGTTTTTCAGTGGGTGTATAGGTATTGTGTGGGCTGTAAAAAAAAAAAAAAAATTCTGAAACCACAGCCTGAATTGACAAACACTCATGTTGTTACTAAACGTAAGTGACACGTTGTGTTTCTGCAACTTTATTTGTGCTTTTAAACAGGAAGTAACTTTAGACAGGCTGTGGTCATGTGATTAACTGAAAGGTGAGAGTTTGTTCACAACACTGTTGTCACGGTGACTCAGTCAAACTTAATCAGTAACCAGGAAAGGTGTGTGCACCTGGTCTAATTAAAAACAGTTTATCAAACATTATTGCTGATCTGGTGCTCTGGTGTCATGTTAGTTAATATTAAATGACATCTTTAAGAATGCCATTCCATGTTCCAATTACCACTTTGAACCAGCTTTTTAGTGTTCATGCAGAATTTCACTCCATCAGTGTAATAAGTGAGGTGTACATCGGGGTTACACAGTAATTAGCACCTGTTGGGAGTGAAGCAGCGGCTCATTTATTATAGGTTAATGAAACCTTTTTTTTCAACCGTCGTGTCATCGTGTAGACTTACCTTCTAACATGCTTAGTTGCCTATATAATTTAGTCTTCCCATTTTATAGACCGTGTTTCTTCCTTAGTGACGAGGCCCTGACTGCTGTGGGGGGAACATCCTGTTAGAAAGCACTAAATCTTTATATCCGCTGTTGTTCCACCTGCTGCTGCTGCTGCTGCTGTTGTTGTTGTTGTTGTTGTTTCAGTGCAGAGACAGTGTCACTGCTATTCCTGGCCCCCTAATGGTACAATTACCCCGGCTAATCATTATGTACTCGCACCAGACTAAACCGTAAACAAACAGTAGTAAACCACAACACTGGTATTTTGCTCCCTCCATATTTTGGTCAGAGAGATGTAGGCACATTTTCTTTGGTTTACCACACGCACACATTTACATTGTTTTCCCAAGAACTACACCACGGGAGTATTTTAATATTGGGGTTCACTACAACCACACAAATACAGCTGTCAAGGTGAACAAATGTACAACTGAAATCTTCGATTGTCTCACCACAGTGGTGTGCAGTGATGTGTAACCTCAAACATCCTGCACCACACATACACGCTCAAAGTGGCTTTAGTGTTTGGTAAGCACTTCATTTATACACACACGCATTCCCTAGCTCGATATGCTAACTCATGCGCGGCTCCCTCTGATCTAATCCTAATCTTAATCTCAAACCATCAAACAGGCATCATTCAGGAGGGACCTGTTCTCAAAGTGTCTCCAGAAGTTCAGCTTTCCCAGAAACACACACACACACATTTGTTTTTGTATTTCTATGAATACTACTCTTAGACTGCTCTACTCTTCTCACTAAGAATACTCTATAAGCATTCCACAGTCTTACACTAGTCACCAACAACACAAATAAATATCTAACTGTTAGCCCCGCCCTAATCCTAATTCAAACACTAACCCAAAACTAAAATAATGCTGTGTGTTCTCTTTCGTCATTGAATTCCATTTTGCAGTGCTAGAGTAATGACTGAATCATTAAAACAATCACTGACCCAAAATGACCTTTAACTGCAGGTGTTTTAAAATGGCTTCTCTAGACTCTTGGAAATGTATTAACAAAATATAGCAACAGAGGACACACTTGGGCTAGCAGCACTGTGTGGTGTCATGTGATGTAATGTTTAATTGTAGTTAAATATTGTTGAATAATTTAGGCTAAAAAAAAAGACTTGTTGTTATTTCTGTTACATGAAATGGTCAATTTGGAATAGTACCAGGTGTAAAAAAAAAAAAAAAACTTCATCAAGTCAAAATTCTTTTTTATTATGTGGTATGACTCAGCTACAAAAGGTGGCGCTACGTCCCAGTTTCCGTCATATTCAGTTACCTTGTTGGGTGTCAGCAAGACAGCTCGCAGTGAATGATTAATAAGACTACTTAAATTCCCCGTTGTTTTGGCTCATGCTGTAGAGTCTGCCCTATCCTTGGTGGTTGGGTGTTATTTGAGGTCTGATGACTACATTGTCAGATCTTGGACCACGGCCAAACCGGACTACTGCTGTGCTGTTGCTCCTCTGCTGCTGCTACGCATCACCAGTCAGCGTGCATGCAGACGTAGCTGCAGGATTATGTCAAGCTTTAAATGTGAGGTTTAAGGGTTTAACCTCAGAAATGTAAAAAAAAAACTATTTTATACATGTGATACAATTTGGTAAATTTCAAGTATCAGCAGGTCTGACTGGTTATCTTCAAGAGCCATACGAGTCTACAGTACTGTGCACCTGCCGGGGGGGGGGGGGGGGGGGGGGGGGTAAAGTAGGGTCACGTTGTGATGATTTTAGGTCAGCATAGACTGGGGTAGGACTTTCTTTTGGTGTTTGTGTCCAGCTAAGACTTCCCGATCACTCACTTTCGCACTGGTTTAATATTGTATTCATGCATTCCTCAGAATAAATATCTTGACCGAAAGATGTACTCTATACCTCTTGCCTTCTTTGATTTCATGCACTCTAGGGACTTTAGAGCCTTTTATTTTGAAGTCCGCATTTACATGTCCTCCCAGTGAGGAATGACGTGGACGAGACCGTCCTGTAGTACTACCTTTTGACTATGACTAAGTGATGTATTTTCTCTGTAG